CCACTGTGGGAACCCGTGATCGCTGACCCATCAAGGCTGCGGTCGCGATGACTGCTCTGTTCACCTCCTGCTGGATGTCCGGCGTGAACTACAAACACGCCCAGTCTCGGCTGCGCCCACACCGCGGCGTAACTTCGCGCGGTCTGACCAATTACCATCAAGGTTGACTGGGACAAAGGCAGCTAACGGTGGTCGCCCGAATGTCTGCCACTAGGGGACGGATGCACTAGTCCGCGATTCAAATCTCCTGCGATCTATTCTTTAATCCTTCTGCAGAATAAACTCTTCCTATCACTTTGGCCTTCCCATGAATTCTCTCCTCTTCCTAAGGAACCGAGCTTGGAAGATCGTTGCCATTAGGATTAACAAAATGAGCCTTAACATCACGCGATAGATTCCTTCATGAGTTCGAAAACTCGGATTAATAGACAAATTGTTCCGTTGTTCGACTAGTCTGCTACTTTACTCCTCAAAATGTTGAGCTGATACCGGGAGGCAATCGAAGACCCGGATACCGCTTCTTATGGTTATCTGACTTACGATTTGAGGAAAGGGAGTTAAAAAAGTCTCATGTAAGCATGCGAGAGAAAGCGAGGATGGTTACACTTCAGCTTACACAATGGGCATATCCGTTTCGCTGAGGTTGATTAAAAAGTCCCATTTCCATGAAGAGAAGTTTGTCAGAAGGTCCTGCATTATATCAAGCATGAGCGACAACAATTCTGGCGCTCCCCACACCGGGTTTCGACGATTCGGCGTCACGTATACATTGTTGGGCAGGAGGTGGGCTATCTTTTGGAACTTGGAATACAAGTATTCACTTTTCTGAAAGGAGAGGAAGTTCAGTTCACACATCACTGTCCACGGACTGGTTGAGGCTAATGATTGGAAAGTCCGCTTTTTCTGCTTCCATTAGCAGCATTCTTCAGATAAACGGCAAAAAGAGGATTCGGTTGCAGGCACATGCGAGCACTTATAATCGGGACTGCATAAAGCGACAAGTGAACGATCCTAAGGCCGCAATGCATGGTAGTCAATGGGAAATGGAAGCCAGGGATAAATGCCTTAGAGTCAAATCCATTTCCTACCTTCAGAATTTCGGTAGCGACAACGAGCTTAATGGCGACTCAAGGCTTCTGGTTGATTGACCCGTGTAGATGCATTTTTAATAGTGACACATTGTGAGGTAAATGTAGGGTACTTGGACTATGCTAATTGTTCACCTACCCACATGCTTCGTTCGTGCACACGGTAGCTTCAGCTTGGTTGGCAAGGGCAGCGCTCAAGTCGACCTTGCCAGACGGCAACTCCGCTTATAGCAATTACAAGGAGATGGGGCGAGAATGGAGTTCCTAAGATTTGAATTAATTTGGCCCGTCACTTCATCTCTGACGAAATGGTGGCACTTAGCTGTGTGGTATCACTGTTTACCTACAGCCCTCGACTTGAAGTGTAAAGTTGTGTGTGGATGTCTGGAAGAGAGCTCACAAAGTTAGGCGAACCGACGAGATTTGATATGTGCTGGGGTTATTCGGACAGTGGTACGCCAAAGAAGCCTCCATTGACTTTCCACGTTCCAAACTAGCTGTAGTGCTAGGCCTAAAAGCACTACAAACCGATGATTCCAACTGCTAATATAATTATGTAGCTTACCGATGACATATTTGGTATTACAAAAAGCAAACTATAAAAGCTTCGCGACTAAACAGCATCTACCGCGATATCTCATTCATAAGGGCGGAAACATATGGACAACAGTCGACTTTTCTTCATGTTCTCGTTGCGCAAATGGTAAAATAGGGGAGCTCGAAAGCAAAGTGTACAGCAAACACAACTCCAACCTCCAATTAAAACAGTAGCTTGCTGCTTCTTAAAAGTGGATTCCATTAAGGCAGTAAGTCGGGCGGGTAAAATCGATCAAAGTGTGATTAAATTCACGGCTAACGGTGAGCCTCGCGGCTCAATTGGTATAGCGTTGGCTGCACAAAAGCCTTGCCTGCTGTGTGGGTTCAACTACCACCGAAGCCGTGCATTTTCAACAATTGGGTCAACTTAACTAAGCAAAGCTGCCAAAACCCCCTAACAGTACAGTAGCGCACAAGGAAAACAATGGGTCAGAACTCGAGGAAACAATTACCAAACCTGCCGTAGCGAGTCAAAGACAAAAAAGCATTCTTCGCCTGTACCTACGCGACCAACTCGCATAAGATGGCCACCCTCAGGCGCGGCACCTAGAAATGTTTCCCGTGGAATCAAAAAAAACTATCGCAGAGTTTTCTGTCAGCATCATTTGTAGGAGTCTGCGGCAGCCGACAGAGCAGTCATCCCGCAGCCAAATCTTCATTCACCCGCACAACTTCGCAGGCACACCAGGCGTTCAGACCTACCTGGCGGCTGGCTTATAACACGGCCTTTGTACCGCCTATTTTCCGGTAGTCAATCGCTGTCTACCAATGCTGTCTTCCCTGACTCTTTATTTGTTGAAACCTTCTCTCTTGTCGACACTACTACCCGCGACACAGCCAACAAAAGCAACTGTACGAGTGGGAGTTACTAAGATCAGAACTCAACGGAACGCGGAGCTGATATTGTATTTATACCGACATTCCTACCATCGATCTGAACTATTGAGAA